TGTTGGAGCTAATCCCGCTGGAAGTCTCCTCATTTGTTGGATGACTCGATGAGTCGCCCTGTGAAGAGATGTTTTTGACAGGCAATAATCAAATATATAAAAAAATTTCGTTTCGTAAATTATTACAAATAATTATTTTGAATTAAGATTAATTATTGTGAATATTAACGTTTAGATGCGTTTGGTTTAGCTCTGGAAGGCTCTGGATACATCTGTAATCTTCTAATATTATAGACAAAGCTATTCGAGTGCTTTTCATTTGATGACACAAGTTGAAACAAGTGTCGTTCTATCTTTGTCACTCTCTGAATGTTAAGAAGAATAAAACGTCGACTTGTGTCGACTTGTGTCATCAAATGGAAAGCACCCATATAGTTAATCCAAATAATTAACGTACTTGCATGCCATTTCGCCCGAAATGGGTTGTTGGAATTCTACTCTTAATTTTATTTCCGGTACTCAATGTTGATTTTTTTGAAGTATTTGATGATAGATCTTCCGCTTTTTCTAGAAGGATACGAGAACATAAATAAATATGTGCTCTTCTTCACTAAAACAATTACTGTAATAATACAGTAAGTATGTTATACAATTTACACTTTTAGCTGTATTTTACAATTTTTTTTCCTTCTATATCACAAAGATATAGTTTTTTTTTTCAAATGCAAGAAGTATAAAGCCGACGGTACACGAAGCTGACTTTTTTCCTGCTGGATTTTTAGCTGGATTTGCGATTTGCTATCATATCAGCTCCAATACTAACACTGCAATCAATACAGTAGCAAAACGTAGATCCAATTAGAAATCAAGTAGGAAAAAATCATCGCGTGCGGGCTTAAAAAGATGCGCATAAAGAGAATATATTTGTAAATGCAATGCGGAGAGTGCATTCTGATTACGCATTGACAGTCATCATTATTTTAATATAACCTATAATATTTTAATATAATAGTATTTTAATATAGCAATATAACAATATTTTTTTATTTGTTTTGTATAATATTATTTTGCTATGTATAATATTTTAATATAATCATTTATAATTTCGAATCATTTTAGAATGAGGTTATTTTAAATCAAAACTATATTTAATTCTAATATAGTGCATTTTTCTCAATAGATTAATTAGTTATGATTGTTTTATTATAATTATTTTTCATTTTGAAAGACAATAAAAGCAAAAAGAAAGTAATACAGCGTCAATTATTTCGATTTTTTTCTACAATTCTTACTTCATAATCACAAAGATACTACCAATATATGAACAAGAAAATTTTTGAGTTCACAACAATATTGCTATTACATATCACAATTTTTCTATTTTACGTTATAATTTACAAATATTCAATGATATCAATGATATCAATGTGTATCAAGAGATGCGAAACAACCTGAAGAATTTGTCGCGACTGCTTCGCTCAGCATTATTTCAACTCCTTTTCACGTAATATAGAGCGATGGGTGACAGTTGGATTTGCGAATGGATCTATGAAACTTTCGAAAGGGATGACTTCGAGGAGAGTTTTAATTTCGTAGTCTTGTTGGTTGGGCAGCGAGATGACCGAGCATTAACATTGGTTCACGTGAGACAGTCGACGACTTCGAGGTGTTTCGAAATCGCGATTAATTTTACGTTGGACGTCTGTGCAACGTTAATACTGTAATGATAAAATACATAACTGCGATTAAAAACCGATTAAAAATATTTTTACAGCATACATATCAGTTTTATTAATTAAATTTATAAAATATTCTCGAAATAATTTTTAAATTAAAATGCAGAGTTTATGGAAATGAATGATTTTTTTGTAGGGATATTATACATGGTGTTCGTAAATTGATGATACCGGTAAGCGACAATCCTGCATAAAAATAAGTCGGAAACGCAGAATAAATATGAGATAATAAAATAAAATAATAATAAATTTTTTTGCATATGAGGTTTGTTTTCGAGAAAATCGATTTTAAATATTCGATTTTAAATATTCGTCGGGTACGTATGCACATTAATATGTTTCAACTTAATAAATTTCGCTGTAGATTATTATCTCTGCTTTGTATTTATTATAGTGGTTAATCGAGAATAATAAAAACAGAATATTTACGCCCAATGAATTTTATTATTTTGTAAATATAATTGTTGCCCGTTCTATCAAATACTCAATTCCACTCTTCGAAATAAATGTCTGTAAATGCTTATAACGTATTCTAATGTTTTAATTTATTAATTAAATCCGTACCCGACGAATAATTAAAGTCAATTTACTAGAAATTAAAATCATATATGAAAAAATTTTATTCTACATTTACGACTTATTTTTTCATACAAAATTATCCTCTTCCCGGTTATCACCATCAATTCACGCTGTATTTAAAAAATCTAGATAATGAAAAAAATATTATAATATTAACGACGAAAGTTGGAATTTAATTTTCCTCTTTCAATAATATAAAAATTAAAAATGAGATAAAACTGGAAATTAAATGAGGACAAACGAGAAAACGGTTTTTTTTTTATGAATTCATTGATATGATATAAATATTTATCGGAAAGTAAAGCAATATTATCAACAGTGAATGAATCATGCTTTTTTTCAAAACGTGCACATGCATTTAGTAAGCGTTTCTGAGAGAGCTTTCTGGAAAATATACATTTATCAGAATCAGTAGGATTATGATGAATAAACGGCGCCACTTCAATTGCTAAAAATTGAAATAAGAGTTTCGTGCTCAAACAAATAAAGCAATTCATTAGTGGACAAGGTCAAGTTAATTAGTTTAATTTAGTCTTTTCTACGTATTGCGGTGAATTAATTGTTGGTACGCATTTTAAAAACAAACTTGTGATTCGTTTCATAATATGATGCAATTGGCAATAACTTTGTACGTTTGGAGTTATTGATGAAGTTGTCAAACGCTTTGGAAAATGGGAAAATTATTAAAAAAGTGATTAAGCGCTTTGAGAGTATAACAGATAAAAACTGATATTTACAGAAATTCGATTTAATACAGACCAATTTAATATTGTACTAAAAATTAGTTTTTTTAATGTTAAAAAACTAATTATAATGTATTGAACAATAATGTATTGAACAAAAGTATTTTTAATTACACTCAAAATAAGTAATTAATTACTATTTTCCATGTAAAATTTCATGTTAAATTTCTGTAATTAGAGAAAAAACAGTGGTAGTTTTTGCATTCGCAAATAAAGTATAGCTTATCATTTTAACCCTTTATATTTATTAAAGGAATCTTGAAATCATCTATTTTACTGATTATTTTTTAAATAAGTATCTTTCTAACTGCTTTTATATATACAGAATGTTCGGTAGGTTTTGATGAAGTGCACATATATAGATAGAACGGACTAAACTAAATCGAAAAATCCTCTACCATTTTGCAATTTTCGCAATAGTTAACAAGATATTAATTACTAAAAATTGTCAAATATTAGAGGACTTTTCGATTCAGTTTAGTTTGCTCTATCTACGCACGAGCGCTTTGTCAAAATTTGCTGGACACTCTGTACTATAGGTTTAAAAATTTCTTTTCCACAATTAAAGTATAATGTAATTCAAATCAGAGAGTTGACTTTATGCCAAAGACGAAAAAAAAAAGAAAAATTACAGTTTTATTGCTAGCTTCTGATGTCGACTCGTAACAATATTTGCTATGTAAGTTTTATATACTTTGTATACAATCTTGGTAAAACAATCTTGGACTTAATATTACATGAACAAACAATATTGAATTCTTAGAATTAGTTTAATGCCCATTTCCACCAACGTAGATTAACTTTAATCTCGGTTCAACTTACTCTTTGTCTTTTTCTAATCTTTAGAACTAAAAATGAAGAGTAAGTTAAACCGAGATTAAAGTTAATCTACATTGGTGGAAATGGGCATTAGATATCTAATATGAAAGATTATAAGTCAGAAAATTTGCATGCATGTGTGCGTGCGATATTGATGTAGTTAATGTGTAGTGACGTGTCAATGATACGTAAATCGTATATGTGTAAGTTGTATTGAATTGATAAAACAGACGACTTTAGAATCCTTTTAAAGTTTGGAACAGCTGATCGCAAATAACCAACAGATACAACAAAATCGTTAGGAATATCTAATAAATTTCTATTATGAGATACTTTACGTAATGCAAAACTTTTCTACAAATAATTGTTCGTTTTCTTTCTCTCATGAGATCTACAAATGAGAATGTCTAAAATTGAAAATTCTAAAATTACGATTGCAATTGCCACGTGGCTGCAGTAATGTTAATTTATATCACTGCGTGTCATAGGAGAAATAAGCATGGCAGCCTCTCTTCTCTCTTTTTCTTATTACAAAATTTATCTATGCGTTCCGCATTTACTTATAAATTTATATCCAGGAAAAACATACATCCGATTATTTATTATCAGAAATATATATTTCTTAGGTAAAACCCCTAATAGTACACTTTATCTGGAGTACATCCTTGGAATGTTCATATGGACGTTCCCTGGAAGTCTGTGCTGTTAGGGACGGTTTTAGATAAATTTCAAATTATTGATAAACATTTTCACAAATTATCATAAATTGTACATCAAACCTTCGACAGATTTTGATATACGTATTAATGAAAAACTCATTATAACGTCCATTTTATCGGATTTAAACTTTTTGCTAAAAAAGAACAAATTATTTTTATTAGAAATTTATTTATTAAATAAGTTGCAATAGATTTTCAAGTTTTAGTTAGAAAAAGATATAATGGCATATACAAGTACTCACTTTACTTTAGCAAACAATCACTTTATGATAAAATTATGGAAGCGTTTCGTATTGCGCCGTATATTGAGGAAAAATTCGTAAACTGCTTTAATGAAATCAAAATAATTAAGAACACGTCCTAAGATCGAGAAGAAAAAAAACTCTAAACACGTCGTGCGCTGCGCACGCTCGGCCGCCTGAAGTAGTAACAGCCCGGTCAGATGGCTCAGTCAGCCGGAGGTCCGCGGCAGTGGCGGACGTATTACGGGTGTGTTTCCCTGCCGCGTTGGAGAACGCACGTGACTGGCGCAAAGGGCAGAAGACAATTTTACGTAAGCTGTACTTCCGAACGACATTACGGTAAGTACCCACTCGAGTATCTTCAATTGTACCCATAACGAGAGAATCTTTGAAGGATACAATTTTGTGTCGCGTTTCTGAAGATGCCATCTCGTAAGGGGAGAGAGAAAGAAAATAAGGGAGAAAAGGAAAGAGGGAGGAAATGCGCACAGATATATTCAGCACGAAACGTAACAGTATTCTTTTCATGATTGACAGGCCACGCTGCTGGGCATTTCGAGTCAACCTTTGTGTATTTTTTTCGTGTAATTGCTTGTGGGTTTTATTCTTGGTTGAAATAAAGGCTGGTTCAGTTGCCTGCAGCTTTACCGAATGAAATTCGAATAATAATGTACATTTTATTGCAATTTGTGTCGAAAGGCAGAAATACTAGAAATAAGGTCCGGCAATGCGTACGTATTTTGTGAAATAAAATTTGGATAAACTTATAAACTGAAAAATATACAAGAAATGTACGCGTCACGCGTAAGTGTGTTGTTTAAATTGTAGCAGCGTTTGATTATATTTCATGGACATTTAATGATGAAGTGTAATTGCACGTCCCGATTGAAATATTCGTTGGCGCTTCTGCTCGATCGGGTCGTTGACTAGTCAGGCGTGCAGAGTGCTTTCCTTACGCACGACTAGGCACATTATTCGAACGTATTGCCAGACTGCTTCGTAGGAACAGATAAGGACAGTGGGAAGCGGAAAAAGGAAGCATAAAAGGCGCGCAAGGGTTACATCCGCGATGTAACGAGGATAAATCGGATAAAAAACGATCGAATCGCGGTGATTTCAGTGCCAATGACTGCAGAAGTGCATTTTTGCTTCTTACATGAGTGCTGTCGGGAATACGTGTTGCGCTGAACTTTTCTTGCAAGTTGGCTAGTCGAAAATTTGCAACTCCCGCGAATTGTTAAATGATATTGAGACATTATTCAATTGACATTCATTTTGGCGCCATTTTTATAGTGGTAATCTTTAATATAATCGTTACTAGAGCTGTAAAATACTATTGATATAGTATTGTTATCAATACCGTAAATTTTACATATAAATAAATATAACCTCCTCTCAGTTAATGTAACACATAACTTTTTATGCATTTTATACTTTTAATAACAAAATATTTGTAATCTAGGTCTTTGTAAACGCAAATAATCAAATTATTAATTTAAAGAAAGAAAGAATGAGCACACTATCAAATTTAATCTTGAAATTATACATACGGGAAAAGAAATTTTCTAAATCTAAACATTTCTATTTTCTTGAATAGTGTTAAGTAAACATTTGCTTATTACAAATAAATATTTATTAAACGTAAATATGTATCAATTGATTTAAGTATTATTTTCTTTTTTTATGTAAATATTTATTTGCAGCAAAGAAATGTTTACTTATTGTTAGTTATTATTCAAGAAAATATTATTTAAATTTAGGAATTTTTTTCAATGTAGAGTATGTATATATATAATCCAATTTTGTGTGTGTGTGTTTTCTCATATATAAACTTAAATAAAATACACAATAACACAAAAAATTGTATTAAATTGTATAAAAAATTAAAACGACTCTATAATATTATTGATTATCGGAGCGTCCAAACTGATATATGATGGACAGAATTTTTAAAAGCCTAGCTTTTAGCACGACAGATTGAACTTATTCTGATGACAACTGAAGCTTAGCGTTCAATAACGTCGTTTACTTATACGTAAAATTTATGTATCAATAGTCTAGGATTAAAAAGAAAGTAGATAAAATGACATAAAATGTTGATCGAAAATCTCTAGGCTCTGAATTTCAAATTCCGCCAAACTCCAAAAAGATTAAGAGTTTTAGTGAGTTATAGAGTTTGAAAAATTATGAGTATATATCTATATATATAGCAAAATACTGTCATATATTAATGGCAGGTATTGCACAATATTCAAAATTTTAACGTAAAGATATATTTAATAATATAACTGATTAATGTATTAAAATCTTCAAATCATGACTTGTTGGCTGTGTTCGAGGAACACTATTGCATTATTATTCTATTCTTGTTATACGTCTAATAGACGCTAAAGATAGAATGAGATAATAGCGTTGATAGCACGCTCTTTGAAGGCACCCGTTAAAGTATAATTTGACGAGCATTAACAGAGCAACAGTTCAAATCGATAAGGCAGTAATTAAATAACTGTTGAATCGTTTCATTCTGATAGCCGCTAATGAAATGAATTGTTCAGTGAATAGTGTGCGTTCTCTTTTTTTCTATGTACTTTAGAATTTTTATTGTATTTATTTAATCAGTACTGGCAATGAGAGTTTGTGTTGCGGCTCGGTCGTTCATCAATGCGCGACGAGCATCTCGATGAGCCGAAATAGCACCAATGACGGCATTTATCGGCCGCGACTATTTCAAGCAGAAAATCAATGCTTCATCCGGAAACGCTTGCTGAACAGCTGGATACCCTAAATTTTTTTATAGACCTTTATACGCTCGATGCTGGTGATGTAGATTGACAAAAAAAAAACGTCAGCTTTTATCGTTCAGTGAGAGTTTTTTACATCCTTCCGCGTGAAAAGCGAACAACAGCTGGGTGAGACAGGCATTCATAAAAGTATGCTGTTAATGTGCATTTATATCGACTCTTAAAACACACAAAAATATCAAAATGCCAAAAATATCAAAATAACTTGATCGAAATTAATTCGTTAAAAAATCCATTTAAAGTTTGATGGAATCATCGATTATTTCAATCCAATTACATGATAGTGAATAATCCAGTTGATCACTTTAGTCACTTCTAGTCCGTTTTAGGTGTTTTAAAATTAATAGGTTTTTTACGGATAAGCTTTTTCGAGGTCTTGAGTAATGAGGTACTTGGCTAATTGTATTGATTTTATATCCATCTTTGAATAATTAATTTTTAAATAACTGTATTTAAACTGCTTATTATAAGATAATTAACGTTTTTGATTTTAAAAAGGATATAATATTCAATACCTTTTTTTATGTACTTGGCACGCATTTTTTCTTTTTTAAAAAAAAATTGTTTAGAGATGATAAATTATAGGACAAAAAATATCACAAAGCAAAGCAAAAATCAAAAATTATCTTTTTGATGTAATTTTACAAAGAATACTTCATATAACTATTATAGTTGTTAATTCCTTTTCAAACTAAAAAAAATCTGAAAAAGGTTAATTCGTGTCCAAAGTGTATGATTTCATGAAGTATGATATATAACGGTCGCATATTGGAAAAATATCCTGTCAAGCAGTAATGTCAGGAACGCAATTTCCTTCGGAAAGCATTCAGTAAAGTAGAACGTGTTTTACAACGATATAAAATCTCCGGATCGCGATTTTCCGTAGAAGATACATTTAAGTAAATAAAAGAAAGGAGGAGACAAAGATGAAAAAGGAGCAAGAAATTCTCCGATGACAGCAGGATATAATACGTGTTGCGATGGAAATTATTACGGATATATACGGGAATATACCTACACCGTTAAATATTGAGTCACCTATTTGATGAAGATATGAATATACGCCTCTCTATCTTTCCTAAGCACTCCATTCGCGTCTTTGATCGTCGTAATATCGCCGATGAGGTCCTCGCTCCATTCATCATGTCTCTCGTTTTTCTTCTAAAGTCCTAGATCCCAACATATTGACATCGTTGGCTGGCAATCCGTCGTCGGAGTTACACTTTCCTTGATATGAGTCTCTCCAAGTCTCATCATCCTTCGTTCTGTCATTCCTCGTATGACTTTTGCTGTTTATTCAACCGGTAACATCATTTAATTAATCGTTAACGACTTCAGAATTGAACTTCGATCCTGAGAGGTCGAATATTAATATTACATAAAAATCTCGGTAGAATTCTACTTTCGTATAAATGATAAAGTATAACGATTAGATCAGAAATACGACATGTGGATCTCTAGAATTGTACGTTTAATCATTTAATTGCCAAATTAATTATCTAGAAACGTTTTTCATCGAGTTAAAAGTGCGTCGCAATTATGATGTTACTGCGCAAATCAATCATTCGGATATTAACTGACGATATATATCATAAATGGATAAAATGGGAGGTATTAATTTATTATTTACCTGAAATTTTACTTGTTTCGGTAGCGAAAATTTGTGATTCACTAATGAAAGGCTTAACAGCTTAATTATATGGAATTAATTAATAATTGCGCACATTTGTCAATACAAATAAACGTAGTTTTCGTTAAATATAATTCGCTCAATTAGTTTTTCAATCGTTGATAATATAATTCTCTTAATGCATTTGTAAATGAAAAACGATATCCTATATTAATAAATCTTATTAAATGCTTATTAAAATTTGTTAGTAGATGCGATTATTTAATAATTGTCAGAATATTGTTAAATGAATATCTATTATTAATTATATCAATAATTTCGTCAATCCATTTATCCAAAGAGTCCGATTACCTCACATTGTATCTTTAATAAATTTATAAATCTACAGATTTATAATATATTTCTTGAGATCTGTACAGTCTCTTCAATATTGTCTATACAAGTATGTAATAAAACATAAATTCACTTTACATGTACTATTACAGATTTTCAGTAATTCAATAATTTATTCTTAACGCTGTCATTCAAATCTCTCGTAAACAAATCGAATATACATAACAATATAATTTTGGCAATGCAAACGCAACTACAGGAAAACCGTAACAGCGATCGCGTCTCTTGGTAGATATTGTTTGAGTTTCTGTTGGTGTTCCATGACCGAGGGAACGAACGTGGCAGAACGCCAGGCAGAGTGAAATACCATGCCCTATATACACCGGTTTGGCGCAATATATTTAGGCGCTTGAGATTTATGGTTAACCAGCTTATTAAAGGCCAGTGATGTTCGTGGATCAACATGTCGCACAGCGTCCAAGTACCGTGTTTTCCGTTTAGCATATCGATACGATCGTGCGGAGCATTACGAGGTGGCAAGATTCAATCAATATAGATGTACAGGGTATTTACCAAAGGTATTTTCCTTGAGGTCGTAAAACTTATGGTCATTAAAATTTTATATTTATATAAAATTATATTAATAAAGAATATTAATAAAAGTTATGTTTTAAAATTTTTTAAATTAATACCTGTATTTAACATAAAAAATTATATCTCCTCTTTCCACCCATCGATTATCTTTTTTTAATAAATGTACATAAGTACTCTTTTCTTGTGACTTAAATATGATAACTTTCAGCATGGATCAATTTTTCCATTAAATTTTCCATTAGATCGCAAAAATTACGAAACTTTATGAATTTCGCACATTTCAATTATTTAAACCATAATGCATTGTATAATTAGTTATTTACCGTTTCTGAAAAATATTAGAGAGTTAATATTCTTTAATCATTAATAAATGTGCACTCCTTTATTTATAATTAATGGTTTTTAAATAAATGTGTACCTATTTCTCTCTCTTTGTTTTCGCTTTGCAATAATTATTTTAACGTTAATAAAAAATACTAAAAGACTATTTCATATTTCATATTATACTTTTATATTACTCATATATAATTATTCCTTTAAACAAATAATAAATTCTAATTTTCATCTTTCTTACATTATTTATTATAATTTGTTAACATTATTTATACATTATTAATTTATATATTTTTTATATTGATATTGATTTGATATTATTATCACTTTAATATGAATATTCTTGTTATAAGATCTTTAAATAAATTTTTAATATCTTTAATATAAATATTTGAATTGTAACACAAATATATTCTATTTATAAATATTTAATTCCGAATTAGAAATAAAAAAGATTGAGACATGCTTAAATTGTTCATCTGCTTCAGTGATATTTTATGTCTCACCTTTACTACCACATTATTAGATGTTTCAAACGTGTGCCCGTTCAATGAACCGGGAAAAGCTCAACGGCTCTACTCGTTTCGGCGCCAAGATTCTGCCAAGATTGCCGAGTGACTCAGTGTCGATGCATTTTCAGCAACGCTTTGTTATCGAACACATGGTCACTGTGAGGACAATTGTCTCACGTGTTGGCATCGCTCTAGTCTGCGGAACTCACGTGCACGTTTGCAAATTCTTGCAATCACGATCGCTTGCTGTTACAGTTAGAACGAAGCAATTTAGTTCGAAAATTCAAACTCGAACTGATTAGTTTTTACATCTTTCAAATTTTTAATTTTTTAATTAACCTCTTTTATAGATAATTCTCTGTTTTAAACGTATAAAGAATTGAAAAAACTAATTTTTTAATGTTCGAAAATTCGAAAAATCGAAAAATGACGTTTAATTTAAAGATTGAATTGTCTTGCACGAGATATCGATTTTTCGCAGAATCAAATGGAGAACTTCGACATGTCTTCAATCTTCAGTCTTGGAGTTCTTTGTTCTTTTATTGCTATCAAAATCTATATTACATGCCTCTGAAAAGTCATATCCAAAAAGATAATTTTGTTCGCAAAATCAAATTGAAGATTCAGGCGATCAGTCTTTAATCTTAGAGTTCTTTGTCCTTTTATCGTTATAGATTTTTATTGTCTGAATTTTCAATTTGAATCTGTGAACAAAATTATTTCTTTGGATATGACTTTTTTCAAAGACACGTAATAGAAATAATTTTCATTGTATATAAAATTTAATGTACATAAAATGCTAAATAAATTTAATGATTACTTTCAGTATTTTAGTTTAGCTAGTAATTATTTTTTCGATATTCTAAAATCGAAATATTTTTAAAAAAGAAAGTCACTTGTCTCTATCATGTTGTGTCAATCATCTTGACAATAGCGTAAGCTCAACTCGCAATTGAATCGCAAAACGTTAAATTCGTACGTCGTGCTTTGGGACGCCGGGATATTTTTTTTTTTTATTTAGATTTTAATTGAAACGCATAATAGGAGAAGAAACTAAGAACGTGAGGATATGCAACGTACCTTCAAACGTGAGAGGGATCAAGAATCACTAGTTGTTGTTCTCCTGAACCAATTTGCATTTTAATTTTACCTATTTCCAGTCGTTTCATGTTTTGAATCTTTGATGTAAATTTTAACGTAAACTCCGCGCGTATTCAACGCACAACTAGTATTATTAACACGAACATAAAGGAGAACAGTAGCAATTCATTAAATTCATCGATATTCGATATTATTTGAACGAAAAACACGAGCACTTCAGAAATACGAGGAAATATGCACAGAATGTTTTAAATGCTTTTTCAATCGTGCAAATTGTATGGATTCGTGTCTGCATCGACCGCGATTGTGGAAATATTTGATTTTAATCCGTATTGCCACATACGAAGCAACGTTCGAAATTGTTGAGATCGAATGAGAATGAAGTATTGTTATGTTATTTTCCCTATTTCCAGACGATGTATAATACCAAGATTGTGTACCATGGCGTTTTGTTGCTGCTCGCAGCAGTAACCAGTACAGATTCGACAAAATGCTCCCGAATCATAGAAGGCACCACAGCACCTCGCTCCAATGCCATAGGCAAATATGATTTCTTCCTGACGCTTTTCAACAGGACTGACAAAGTGTACGCCTATATGCCGAACACCCGATATAACGGTAAGCACATACACAGTCGCGAATGAGGGAATTGAATAATTTCGATATAATTTTAAATCTTATTGTTTAAGTTGTATAAATGCAGAAATTGATTCTATTAATTGGTGGCGGTTTTATTGTTATATATAGGTACCTAAAGTCGAGAACTAAAGTTACTTTATTATAATTAATCCTTAGTAGCACAGCAGTATCTGCAAAGCGTTAAAAAAGCGCTTATATACACTTTCCTAGTGCTTTTTAAACGCTTTGTAAGCGCTGTGTGCTACTTGAAAAGGATACCATTAAATAAAAAGTAACGATTTGTTATTTATTTTTTTTATTACATTTTTGTAATATTAAAGTAAGATATTAGATTTAAAAATTACATTATTTAATAATCAAATATTAATTGTAACAATTCATATTAACACTTTAAACTTAAGATAGTCTCTATGTAGGAAGCTTTCCTTTATATTAAATTTATCAAATAAATCTTTTATAATAATTCTTTATATTAATAGCCAGCAGATACAATTTAATAACAAGTCAGAACATTAGGGAGTTTTTGCAATATCGTTTATTCAAATACGGTGAATGCTAAGGTCAGGTTATTTTATTTTTAACAACTAATTAAGAAAAAGATAACATGACTTTAGCTTTTATCGTCTGAATTCTTATTTATTGCAAAAAGTCCTTAATATCTCATGTGTGCTTTGTTCTAGCCTATTATTATTAAATTGTAATCATATTAATATAATGAGATGTTTTTATAATTGGTGTTTTTTATTGTATTAATATTTTTATCTTTTAATTTGTTTAATTTTTTAGAAATAAGTCTTCTTATATCTTTTATATATATCGTATTTTTTATCTTTTATAACAATTTAGATTCTAATTTACAAATACAAATTTTATTAAAAATTTTTATTAAATATTGATGTTGATAAACATCAATATTGTTATTGAGATTCAATAACAATATTGCATTTCAATATGCCAGTACTGAAAATTTATTGTTTATACAAGTATTATATATACTACAGATTTTTGGTACTGACAGTGATTATTGAAATACAGCTTAAAGTATAAAATACGTTATATATTTCAGTGATTGAAATCTTCTATTTATGAAATATTTATAATATCTATAATAAAATATTTCTATGAAATATCTATAATAAAATATTTCTATTTACATACGCGCGCGTGCGTAAATTTGACATCATTAATATTACAAATAGAAAAAAAAGATTATAAATTGTTACCAAAAAAGGTAACGATAATGATAACGGCATTACAAGTAACACTTTACTTCCTAATTCTACGTATACATGTACGTACGTAAAGAAAGAGAGAAAAGATT